TTCATTGGGAAGGATGGGCTCGTGGTAATGGCTGGAGCGGAATTGGTGGAACGATATCAAATACATTAAACACATGGTTAGATGCCATTCCACATGCTCCATTCCAGCCATTATAATGAGCCATCCTCCCCTCCACTGATGTAGATGCTGCTGCTGCTGTATGTTTCCTGGAGACCATGCTGAAGTTCTGGAACCCAGAGCCGTACTCAGAGTTCTCACCTTTTAACTAGATGTTGACAACATCTGAACAGGACATAATGTTAGAGGAACACACATTTAATTTACTATGAACAATTATTTCCTTTTTATAGTACATAGTAATCAGTCATAATAAGGACTTTGCATTTATGGTCACACTTTATTTGGAAAGTCCCATATAGATTATCTACAGATGGTCATACCATCAAAAAACTATTAATTATTAACCAACTTTAGGGTATTGGTTAAAATTAGAACTCAATGTAATCCATTTAATTTGTGCCTTTGGGATCAACTTTACCCAATAGTAGTTTGTTATAATGCTGTCATGCACAATGTTGATACACCGATCAATCATTTTGAAGCCCCTTGTCTGTTTGTTCAGTTGAGGCATTTGATCATTATCCTCATGTTACTACCAAAACAAAATTCCTGTCCATTGTGCCATTACACCAGCTGATTATATCAAACCGTGTCCTGACAAATCCAAACATGTTTGTTATGGTTAATACACTATTTGGTGTATAGTCAGCACACGTTTGCAATAACGCATGGCAGCAACCTGGTCCCAGAGCATTTCTAATTATTCTGTATGTAAATCCGGGACACTCCATTTAGTATGATATGTTATGTTTCGTATGGTATGTATTAATTTGTGGATGTCCATCATCCATTTCGTATGATATGTTACAAATTACAATTCGTATGATATGTTACAAATTAGCAAAACGTACAATATGTTATGAATTTGCTAAACGTATTTGTTACAAATTCCAATTTGTTGTGGCTAACGTTAGCTAGGTGGCTAGGTGGCTAATGCTAACATTCGCTAGCTGGCTAATGTTAGGGTTAGGGGTTTGGGTTAAGGTTAGGAGTTAGGTTAATGGGTTGAGGTTAGGGTTAGAGGAAGGGTTAGCTGAAAGGGTTAAGGTTAAGCTTAGAGGAAGGGTTAGCTAACATTCTATGTATTCGCAAAGTAGCGAAAAAGTAGTAAGTAGTTGAAAAGTTGCTAATTAGCTAAAATGCTCAACTTGTCCGTGATTAGATTCGAACACGCAACCATTGGGTTGCTAGACATTCACAATACACGCCGACCCATCCACCCCGACCAACCACCCTCCTTTTGTTTTTGCCTTAAGTAACCTTCTGTCTTACGTAACCATGCGAAACATAACATATCATACGAATTTGAGTGTCCCAGATTTACATTTACAATGTTATGTCTAGTCTATGAGACCAGGCTGATATCTGAGAGGTACACTCCTGTGAGAATGATTATTCCTGCACTTGAATCCGCTTCCCTGTCCGAAGTGTCCGCATATCAGGTCTTGGAGGTGGGAGTGAGTGATAGCCTCTGGGGCGGTATATCTAACTCTCACAGGGCGACTCCCCTCAATTCTCCCTTTCTGTGTCCCCTCATGGAAGTTCCTGAGAGGAGGAGTTGTGAGCCTAGATATGACCAGCATTAACCTTTCCTCCAGTTTCCTTGTTGGCCGAGTTCATGCGGTTCTACCCCACTTATATCACAAACAGTTTCTGTTGCTGCTGTAGCCTCTCTAGCCCTGCTCCTCCCTCTGCCCCTTCTCACTGCTTACTGCTTTATGCTGTGCTGCTGGCACTGGGCTGCATTGTACAACCAAGCCCTATCAGCCCTGCTGCCTGAGGTCATGCTTATGTGACTGAAAGTGGGGCACGTCCTCCCCGGTCGCTCCTGACACACCAGGGCGCTGGGCGGGCACAGCTGCCACATTCCCATTGGCCACAGGGCAAGCTGAAGAAGGGACCGTTTGGGTGGGAAAACTGGTTGATTGAACTACAGAGAGAATGAAGATGACCGGTTTCATTTGAATCTTTTCAGAGGTTCAGCGAACGGGGAATGTAGAAAACATTTCAACTGAGTCTTTGTGAATTTGTTAAGTGTGTGTCAGATATCTGTGATTGCAATCTAATTAAATAGGCTCCTGCAGTTGCAGAGTTTTGACATACACTGTAGTTTCTTCCATCATGTAAACAGTTTTGATGATGCAACATTTCAGAGATGTAGGTCAGCACTCAATTGAATTCATGACATGCAATTCTGAGAAACCATACATGTAGAGGCACAGGAGGCTGCTGAGGGGAGGACGGCTCATACTAATGGTTAGAATGGAGTGAATGAAATGGTATCAAACACATGGAATCCAAGTGTTTGATGTGTTTCGATACCATTCCATTTATTCCAGCCATTAGGCCCGTCCTCCCCAATTAAGATGCCACCGGCTGCCTGTGACGTAGAGACATGTACAATAACTGCAACAACAAACTGATATTTGGATATTTAATACCATTTAGATATAACATTAAATTGTTGCCCATGGTTAAAACACAGTAATGCTCTTGCTGCAATGAAATGTTGAGTCCAGAGCTTAGCCTACTCTGAAGCTATATGATGCATTATCTTTATTATAAATTCATGATGTATTAAATTATGTATTAGGCCTATACAACACCCTGTGATTTTGACATGATATATCCTACATACCGGTACTCTGTTTTTCACTACCATAATGTTGGGGCGGGGGCAAAATGTTGGGCTCTATAGACAAAAACAGAGAGGTTGATCACAAGCTCCACCCTAGAATTCCTTGAAAGATGTTTTTTACAATCTCAGATGGAAGAAGTCATGGAGTTCAAGACCATATAGCCCATATGGGGTTGAGAGGGGTGGGTCTAAAAACAATATTTAACTCAAATATGACCCAACAATGTTTATAATACTGTGGCGTGTTGAATTTTCAATATGATTTTGGATAATAGTTGTATGTTTGTTATATATTTTTATGCTTTAGGCAACCTGAGGCCTCTGAAGTTCACAATGGTCTCATGCAGTATTTGAAAACAGAAGTGTCAAAATAAATCCAACACGTCCTAAACATGTATTAGCTACATAGTAATATATCTACTAGAAGTAGCAATAAGTAGAGATGTTTTGTAACAGATATAATATGAATATTACTAGGGTCTGATACAATGTTTATTTTTACTCCTGCTATGTTAGGTTAGATAAGATGTGACAATGGTGTAGCTTGGAACGCACATCATTAAGGTGGTAAAATAGAGCATGACGTTTTACTGCATTTCAGAAGCAGGACTTAGTGATTTTAATAGCTGACAAGCTACTCTAACTGACAAAGAACTCGAACATTCATGGGCCAAAGCTTTAGATATCCTGTAAAAACAAAACAAAAAAAGGTCAAAAACACATTGGAGACACTCAGGATTCGCCTCATTCCGCACTAATGCCGCGTTCAAAACATCTGGGAATCGGAAAAATACGAGGTGAAATCATGACGTCAGTGATCTTCAGGTCGGAAAGTTGGAGCTCTAGAAAGGTTCAAGAGTTGGAATTCCGAGAAGGATGACCGTTCAAATTGATTATTCCTAGTCGGAGCTAGTTTTTTCCCGAGCTCCCAGTTGTTTTGAACGCGGCATAAGACCTTTCACCTAGTTTTCAGACTTGCAGTTCATCGGGTTCTTTCTGACACCGATGACCCCCTTGCACGCCCACCAACAGCCACGCACCCTATTTCCTCCAATCGTCCGGCGACCATGCACTGATCACGCGGCGTCTCGCCTGCTATTGGCTAAGGTCTCACACACATTTGTTTTTCATTGGTGGCATGTTGCCACCCGCCAGTGTGTAGTGAATTTTGTTTTCCTTTTTTTCTCCTCATGTTTTACACAGCTGAGAGAGGACGTAGTGAAAAAGAATTGAACAGTCAGTCTCTACTGATCGGGCGGAGTGGCACCGCTTCTTTTGTTCCATATCCGGTTGACACTAAACTGAATTCAAATATACCTAAACAATGCCGTCACGAAAATGTTCAGAAATTGAAGTCTCATATGGGGTAAGAAGATAACGTTTGTTTTTTACTGAATGTATTATTATTTCAAGTTAACATGCGTGTTATTTCATATGAATAACGTTCAGCATTCGAATAATGTGTAATTAGGCTACTGTATTTGTTTGTCACTCCAGTTTATTAGTTTCACTTTTGACTTTTAAGGTTACAATATTATTCAGTTGGTAATTGAGTCATGTCAGTTCAAAATTATTGATTAATTGAAATAGTTATTTACATTTATACCATCCAATTATATTATCCAATGACTTCGCAATGATTGACTGTTGGTCCAATATCTTTAATTCAACAGTGACCATTTGACAAAAAAAATATACAATTTTTCTATTGACCTGTGTTAATGTTACCCAACGTCACCCTATGATAACCAGGTAGCCCAGTAGAGTGGTATTGTTTTGCCTAGGTGGGCTACGCTTTCACTATGTGAAACTGGTCACATTATTTGATCTTGGGAGTGGCCATAGGATCACTGATAGTGTCATTGTAGACAAAGCACTTCCTGATGCAGCGTTCACACTGGGTAACATCCCCTGTGCATGGGGGTCTAGGTCTCACGTGGCTAGAGGTAGGGATACATCACTAGTTGGTCTTTATTTGGCAATGGGAGGTGACTTGGCACGTAGCCTTAGGGCAGATGGGGTGTAATCTCAAAAGCCTGCTCCCTCAGCTCTCGCTAACGGCCACACTGTGACAAACCTCAAACCTCGCAGCAACCGGCACTTGACCATTAAGGTCATTTGGATGCTTCCCTTGGTATGCAAATAAAAAAAATCTAGCTGTATGTTCTTGATTGGGTCTCATTTCCCAGTTGTTGTGGTGATTCGTCCCTATGGTGACTCACCAGTCTTCTATTATATAATATCATAATCAGACCCAACTTTCTTTCCTTCTTTCCTCCAGGCGAATGGGATAGTGATGGACTATTGCGGCTCCTATCTGAAGAGGCAGAGGCACGACAGTGAGCAGTCGTCCCCAGGCTGCAGCCTGGAGTACACAGACCTAGAGGCTGCAGAGGCTCTGGTCTGCATGAGCTCTTGGGGCCAACACCGCCCCAACCCCTGCAAACCCAGACCCCTTACACCTGCCTCGGACTCCTGCGACTCCCTCTTGCCTCCGGACCCACCGGAGCCCCCCAAGGACTTTGTCTCGCTCTCCTCCCTGGTAAGAGTGCATCCTCTATGGGCAACCATAACCACCACACATCCCAAAACAACCATCACACATAAACATCTGTGAGTCCCAGCTTTGACTTACTGTGTAAACCAGCGTGTCTTTATCTCAGGTTGGTGTGTTTGCTAAAAACTTTGCATGGTTTATAGGTGTTGGAGGGGTTAGGGAGGTTTCTGCACAGGTTGCAGGAAAGAGATGAGGAGATAGGGCCTGATAGGCGGTTTGAACTTCACCCAGTGCTCATCTCTCTCAGCTGCTGGTTGTAAAAATCACTGTTTTACAGCCACCCAGCTCGAAGTACCCATTAGTGTAGTGTGTATGCGTGCCTACTGTGGCCACTTATCTCTCCTAACAGCTGCATTAAACCTCCATTTTGAAACAGAACACACCCAACCTAGGACTTCTGTATTAGAACACCATAGTGGTTCTTTGTTCTACTTCATAGTATGGCGCACACACACTAATTCTGTCTTTTTTTCTTTGGTTTCCAGTGTATGACACCCCCTCACAGCCCCAGCTTTGCTGAAACCTCCACCAGCACTGCCATCCACACCAGCACCTCTCCTCTGAGCCGGCCCAGCTCCAGCCTCTCTGTAAGGGTCTGTGGGGTCCCACGATCGCCCATGGCCTCCATTGCCGAGTCCCCAACCACCGGAAAGACCCCACCACCGGCACCCTGCCGAGCCATGGTAACCAGCGTCATCCGCCACACCGCAGACACACACCCCTGCGAGCAAATTCCAGCACCCCCCACAGAGCAACAGAGGGTCTCAGAGCTGGTGGTCCATCAACAGCACACAGTAAAGACTGAACAGAAGAGCAAACCTCCATCTGCCCCCTTCACACCCAACCTCGCCCTCCTCTCTTCCTGTAGGGAACAGCCAGTCATGACTGAGAAGGAAGAGGTAAAGGTTATCCACTGTAAGAAGAGGCCCTCCCCTCCTCCCGCTAACGCCCAATCACAAAACAGCCCGCCCACATGCCTCTCCCCACCCCCCACCTCCAGCCCTCCAATCATCTGCCAGATGTTCCCGGTGAGCAGCCAATCGGGGATGATCTCGGCATTCATCCAGGGCCCGATGCAGACCTCCAGGACCCCCACGTCCATCCTGCCCCAGTCTGGCCCTCGAGGGGCCCTCCAGCAGCCCTTCCTCATGGGCCAGGCTATGCCCCAGGGTACGGTGATGCTGGTTCTCCCCCAGTCCCACGTCTCTCAGGCCCCCCACTGCTCCCCACAGACTGTCATGACCCTGGGCCACACCAAGCTGCTACCTCTGGCCCCCGCCCCGGTCTACGTGCCTGCCGGACCCTGCGGCGCCACCAAGATGGACTTCTCCCGCCGGAGGAACTATGTGTGCAACTTCCCCGGCTGCAGGAAGACTTACTTCAAGAGCTCCCACCTCAAGGCACACCTCCGAACACACACAGGTAAGAGAGAGTTCACAGTGCTTCTCATGGATGAGTGGGAGTAAGAGAGAAAGAACTTGACATTTAAGGGGATTAAATATTAGGATCTTGATTGTGTGTCACGATTTTAACTGAAGAGTATAAGGTCATTTATCTGACTCAAAACATGTTGGGGTTTGTTGGTGACTAAATTATAATGACTTGCTCACTTACTCTCTCTCAGGTGAGAAGCCCTTCAGTTGCAGTTGGGAGGGCTGCGACAAGAAGTTTGCGCGCTCTGACGAGCTCTCGCGCCACCGGCGGACCCACACGGGCGAGAAGAAGTTTGTGTGCCCCGTGTGCGACCGGCGCTTTATGCGCAGCGACCACCTGACCAAACATGCCCGCCGTCACATGACCACCAAGAAGACACCCTCCTGGCAGGCCGAGGTGCGCTGCCCCAACAAAATGTCCGCTCCCAAGCCGCTGCCATCAAACCCTGCCTCACTTTCCCTCAGTATGCTGGTACCTGCCTTAAACTAGACTGCCCAACACTACCCACTAGTGACTTCTTACCCCAAACCCCCAAACCATGACAGGGATAGGGGGGGCAGCCAAGCACACAAGGCTGCCATTTTACTCATGGAAAATGTCTGAAGACATGCACTGGACTCTTTTTCCTCTACTGCTCATTTGTACATTTTTGTTTTGCAAAAGGAATTGTTTTGTTTACTTTTCAGATATTTTACACAATTGTGTGTATAGATGTATGCACTCTTTTGCCAAAGCCTTTGTAATGAAGTTTGTCTTATACATTTCAACTGTCTTCTTTGTATGTATATTTGTACATAATATCTATGTGAATGTATTGTGTCGTATCGTATTCCGAACTACATTTGTTAATTTGGGAAAATTACTTAATTGTGTAAAACAATCTTTGTGGATAGTAGTCTATTATACTGTGATAATTACTACCGCTTTTTGACTTTTCATATTATTTAATACACATTTGTAATAAAGAAAAAAATATTAACTGGTGTGTTTTTATCAAGTCTCCCATTGCCCTTTGACCTTTGAAAAGAGAAAGATGGTCCTTTTAAAATCAGAACAGAACTCTAGTTAGTCAGCACGCCTTTCCAGTCACTCCCAGTTATATGGTAGAGGAATAGAGTGGTGTCTTGCCACATCCTATGTGAGTCAGTGGGTTTGTGTCTGTGACGGTCAGCTGAAACACTTCCAGTTCAATATGCTGGCTGACCACTGCTATGGACTGGACCACATCCTGTTGGTTTAGTGGAATGTGCAGGCCAAGGGACTTTTTGTCCCATTCAGCAGCTCTAATCCAAACTATGCTATGAGGCAGTGGGACATATAGGCACTCATATCCTTGCCTCTGTACTTATAAGAGCCTGGCCGATTGGTTTATGCCCTGTAATACTGGTAAGAAACCTCTCAAGTATCATTATGAAGTAGCATTACATTATTACTTGTGTATCAATTGATAACTATCAGTCTGGATTGATTTAATAATACAGATGATTATATAAGCCTAATGAAGGTGTAACCAGTAGTCATGCTTGTAGGTTGGAAATTCAGTATTACATAAACACACATGTCTGTCAAGTAACTATTTTGTCTGGCAATAACATAGCTTCTATAGCCACAGTCATAATTATGGCTAAATCCAGCCTATTTTCACAATTTATCTTCTTAAAATGTGATTCTAACCCTAACCTTAACCACACTGATAACCGTATGCCTAACCCTAACCTTAAATGAACAACAAAAAGCTTATTTTAGTCTTCATTAAGTTTTTAGAGCGAATTTGGACTTTGTGGCTGTGGTAACTAGTGGATCCCTCTTACCACCACTGCAGTTCCATACCCGGTAACAACCGTCCTCCAGATTGTGAGAAAACTGAACTGTAGGGAGGTGCGCCCAATAGACTGGGTCCCTGAATACCCGCCCCTTTGCCTTACGGATCGATTTACACAATACTGCCTCTGGGTTGAATGGGTTTATACTATCTCATACTTTCTCTAACAGTGACACCTTGTGGACATAAGCAGCATTCTGACTTCACAAATGACACCTTGTGGACAAAAGCAACATTGTATAATATATTTTTATGGTTAGATGATGCTGATCTAAATATCCTATAACTTTTGTAGCCTATAGCTTTTCCTGTGATTTCACGAGAAGAGGAATAGCGGAGAGGCTTGCGTCCATAGCCTATAGCCTACTGCGCACGGGAATAGCTGGAAAGAGAGAGGCTAGAGTTGTGTAGCCGAATAACCTAAATAATATCTAGATATTAGGATCCTCATTAACTAAATATTGGGGCTATAAATATATTTATCTGTCAAAGGGCAAGAAAAAATTGCCGATCTGTGCGTGCCTCCAGGCTGCGCTCTGCAAAGCTCCACTATTGATTAGGCCTACGTTTTTAGACAATAACAATTCTACCTAGGCTACAACACAGTGCAATGAGGAATGTATTATTGTTATCAAGTGAATATACAATTATTGTCTAAGGCTGTAAACTAATTAAAATATATATTTGGGATCCCCATTAGCTGTGGCGATTGCAGCAGCTACTCTTCCTGATGTCCAAACAATACATGAAACATGACATAATACAGAACATTATTAGACAAGAACAGCTTAAGGACAGAACTACATACATTTTAAAAGTCACACATTTGGTGGGGTAAGTGTGTGTGTCAGTTCTGTGTGTAAGTTGACTATGCAAACAATTTGGAATATTCAACACAAAATAAGAAGTGATGCAGTCAGTCTCTCCTTAGCCAAGATAGACTGGCATGCATAGTATTGATATTTGTCACGTCTCCTCCCATTGCTCCCCTCTAGTGCTCTAATTCGCAGGTCGCACCAGTCTGAGCGCACCACCTCTGCAACACCGGAATGGAAACCCAACGCACCCTAGTCTCCTCCAGCGCACCTGCACCTCATCATCTCATCACCACCCCTATATAGCCCTGGACTAGGGTGTTGTACTGTGTGATTGTTAGTGTCATGTCAGTGTACTCGCTCTTTGTTGTTCTCTTGCTCAGTGTTAAGTAAACCTTTACATTGTTGATTCCTGCGTCTGCGTCCTGCCTCTTCGTATCCTCAGTACTCGTCACAGAATCACACACCAATCACGAAGATGGATGCAGCAGGTAATCCTCCTGGAGTTTCCCAGTGCCTCGACCAGCACCAGCAGCATATTGCCCAGCTGAACGCTGCCATGCAGGAGGTGTTCCAAACGCTGCATAAACTGACCATCGCTTCGGTTTCACCTCAGGGAGCGGCGAGTGCACCCAGTCCACCTCCTCCCGGGCTATCACCAACGTCTGAGGGACCCCTCGCCCTGCCAGAGCGCTATGACGGGAAAACAACAAAATGTAGAGGCTTCCTGCTGCAGGTTTCACTGTATCTGGCGCATCAGCGTGGGGCATCTCCATCGGACCAAGCCAGGATAGCGCTGGTGATTTCGCTACTGAAGGGAAAGGCGCTGGATTGGGCCACGGCAGTCTGGGAAGGAGGTGAGGCCGCGGCGCTTCCCTATTCCACCTTCCTCGCTCGGTTCAGGGCAGTGTTCGATCATCCCACAGAGGGAAAGGACGGGGGTGAGCGTCTCCTCCGGCTACAACAGGGAGAGGGGGCCGCGTGCAAGTACGCCCTGAGCTTTTGCATGGTGGCGGCGTCTTCCGGCTGGAATGAGCGTGCTCTGCGCACCGCCTTCAGGAGAGGCTTACGGGAGGACATCACGATGGAACTCGCATGTCGGGACGACGAGATGGACCTTGATACCCTCATCGCCACGTCCATTCGTCTTGACGACATGTTGAGAGACTGCCGGCGTTCTCAACACCTCCCAGAGCCTCGACGTTCACCCCATCTGAGCTATGGAAGCCGCCCTGCCTCCGAGTCCTCACCCATGGAGGTGGGCAGCACCCCCTACACCACCACGGACCACAGATCTCCTGGCGGCTCCCTATCTAGGCGTTATGACTCCCGTCGCTCCGTGAGTGTTCCGTCATCACCTGTCACCAAACCATTGTTTTTAGTTCCCCTAACGGTGAATGGTTCTTCCTTCTCTTCGCTTTCCATGGCAATGATAGATTCCGGATCAGCGGGGAACCTTATCGATAGGGAGCTGGTCTCTGAATGGGGGTTGCCTACCGTGCCACTGCCTTCTCCACTACACGTCACCTCGTTGAGGTCCTGCATTATGGACTTCTGGAGGACATCATCACGGCCAGCCTCACTTCCGGGTATAGGCATCAGTTGAATGGGCAGGTGGAGCGCATGAACCAGGAGCTGGGGAGGTTTCTTCGTTGCTACTGTCAGGACCGGCAGAGTGAGTGGGCAAGGTTTCTACCCTGGGCAGAATATGCCCAGAACTCTGTTGTTCACATCGCCATGCGGCTCACTCCCTTCCAGTGCGTCCTGGGGTACCAGCCGGCCCTGGCCCCTTGGACACCCAGCCAGACCGATGTGCCCGCTGTCGACAAGTGGTTCTGCAGGGCCGGACAGGTCTGGGACGCCGTCCATCTCCAGAGGGCCATTAGTCGGAAGAAGGACAAAGCCGACCGCCACCGCAGTGAGGCCCACGTATTCCAGCCTGGGGATCGTGTCTGGCTGTCCACAAACAAATTCCCCCTCCGCCTGCCCTGCAAGAAACTGAGCCCCCGGTTTGTGGGGCCGTTTAAGGTCCTCCGGCGGATAAATGAGGTATCGTACCGGCTGCTCCTACCCCCTCACTACCGTGTCTCACCCACTTTTCATGTGTCTCTCCTCAGGCCGGTGGTTCCTGGTCCTCTGGCGGATGCCGTCCCCCGGGGTACGCCCCTTCCGCCCCTGGACATTGACGGGAGTCCAGCGTATGCGGTGAGGGACCTGCTGGACTCCAGGTTCCGTGGGGGACGGCTCCGTTACCTGCTGGATTGGGAGGGGTATGGTCCTGAGGAGAGGAGCTGGGTTCCGGCTGGGGACGTTCTGGACCCCAACCTAATTCGGGACTTCCACCATCGCCGCCCTGACAGGACCGCACCTCGTTCTTCTGGTCGCCCTGCTGGCTGGCAACGCCCTGCGGTGGGAGCCGCGCATCCGGGGGGTACTGTCATGTCTCCTCCCGTCACTCCCCTCCAGCACTCTGATTCGCCGGTCTACTGAGCCACCGGTCTGAGCGCACCATCTCGGCAACACCGGAATGGAAACCCAAAGCACACCTCACCTCATCTCATCACCCCCCCCTATATAGCCCTGGACTGTTCAGTGTTGTGTTGTGTGTGATTGGTAGTGTCTTTTTGTGTACTCGCTCTTTGTTGTTCTCTTGCTCAGTGTTAAGTAAACCTTTACATTGTTGATTCCTGCGTCTGCGTCCTGCCTCGTTGTATAATCAGTACTCGTCACAATATTAGCCCTCTGATTATAGTGAAGAAAGAGCAAGACCGCTCAAACGTCCTGTTTTGAATGCTTCATGCTGAAATAACTGCATAAAATCAAATGAAATTGTATTTGTCACATGCACTGAA